ATGGTTTATTTTATCACAAGGGCCACTGGTGTTTTCTTTTCGCTGATTATCATCTCCTTTTCCTTTCTCTCTTTTGACTTCTTCCAGCTGTCAATGGCTCTGAACCTCAGTTTCTCTCCAAATTCTCTTAGCTTTTTGCCTCACCTTCCTTATAAGAAAATGACCAGTTAACCCTTTATTTGCTTTCTATTAAAGCAACAATCTTCTATTCCTTTCACAACAATAAGGAGAACAATGCCTCATGATCTCTTTGAAGGAAAGACAGAATATGAATGTAATAAATGAATAAATGGCATGGTATCTGCTCTTGCTGACTGCAGGCCTCCTTTCCTTACTCTGCCTTCAGCTGGACAAAGACTGGATCCAATAGGATTATGTCACTGATATTTTCTCTGTCCAAATTCTAAATTTATTTATTAAATTTATATAGCTGCCCATCTCACGTATGTGCTTATAGAAGCAACAGTGTAGAATGATAGTTGTAATGGTTCAGGTGATAGACTAGTGTGGTGAGATCTTCAGCCACAGCAGCTCAACAGGGGACATTGGACCAGTCACTACCTTTCAGTCCAGTCTGGATGGCCTTTGCTCAGATTACTATATTCAGTCTCTGTGGAGCTTGCCAAGACTAGCCAGAAACTTTAGTTGGTCCAAAATGCATTGGCTTATATGCTCATTGATCAGTCACAATACTGCTGTATTACACTGTTGCTGTGGGAACTGCATTGGTGTATAATGTTTCTAAATGAAATCCACAATGCTGGTCACTAGCTTTGAAGTTCTATAAAGCTCAGAGTCTGGGTATTTAGGATACCATTTCTCCCAGATACTGTTGATCCTGCCTGCCTGAACCAAATAGCCAGAGAACACTTGCTAAGGGTCCCTAACTATCTGGGGGTGTGGCAGGAGGGGGACAAATGGAGACGTTCTCTGTGGGAGCTCCCCTCTCCTGCAAACAGCCTGCCTCTAAAGCTAGGGCAGCCTCCATTCTCATGGCCTTCTGGAAGCTGGTAAAATCTGACTCTTTTAGACCTTTGGGAACTGACTGTAGAGTCACTGACACCATACTAATGAGTTAATGGCATTTTTGTATTTTTTATTATCATTGTCTTATTTTAGTATTAATATCTGTAAACTATTTAGAGTCTGAATGGATTGAGGAAGTGGAAGAAATGGGATAAATAAACAAAGAAACTCAGTATTGGTATTTTTATTTGATATGTACTTATATCTAAGCATTGTACAAGATCTTTTCCCCCATAACAACAATCCTTAAGGGTAAGTTGGGCTGAGAAAGAGCGACATGTGCAAAGTCACCTTGTGAGCAGCTATGACTGAGAGTGGACTAGAATCTGGGTTTCCCGATTCCTAGGATAATGCCTTGACCACTACCCCACAAAACATTGTTGTAAAGGAAAATCAGAAAGATGTGATATAAATGTAGGGATATTAGGGATATATGTAGGGATACATCAAATACAATGACCAACCTCTTGGAGATTTCCATGTAAGATGATAGCCAGTAGCCCCAGGGACTGGAGTCCAGGTCAAAGTTACAGAATCCTTCTGAGTACCTGCCACCTGGAAATTGGTCACCCGGCCTGCAGCTGCTAGAGAAATAAAGGTAAATGTGGGAGAGTTAATTTGGTCCTTGATAGTGAAGGGAATATCTAGAGAAGCTCTTGGTAGGAACTCATATTCATGACCATAGAGAGTAGATATCAAACTTGTGATCCATTGTAGCACTATGGTAGTTCCAATCTTAGTCAGAACTGCTGTGCACAAATGAGAGAATATTTTCATCAGAAGAAATATTTGTTAGGGCTATACAAAATTTAATGGGATGATTTCATTTGAAAGTAATTGGCTCAAATCATTGCACTGTAGCAGGTCCATGAAACAGCCTGGCACTTTTACCTACTGCTCTGCTTCAGCTGCTTCTTTGGTCCTTCAGAAGACTTCTGTGCAAGCACAGTGGAGAAGCCACTTATTTTGAAGCAGACTGGCCTGTCTTGATGCTTGTGAGGCTGAGTACATCCCTGCCAAAGTTTTAAGCATAAGCGGAAGATCACATCATTTCTGATGCTGAAAGCAGAGTGCTGAGGCAGAATGCATCAGCTTTATATAGACCTGGTAGCTATATACCAAAGATAGGTAGGATAACAGTACCACTGTATATACAAAACTAATTTTATTGTCTGTTACATATTGGCTTGAATATTACACAGAGAAAAGCGGTACATAAATAAGGAAGTATTATAGGTGTGAAAACAATTTGTCCACAGTTGAAGCTCTGCTTCTTGAACTACCTTCTTACAGTATATGCGCTACCACCAAGTGAACTAGAATGTGGGAGAAACAGCCTAAAAGCAACATTCTGGAGTACCCCTCTAATTTGGGAGTTCTCCCTCTAACCAGGTTAGACTAATATCAAGACAAGCTATTTATACTGTTATTTAGGTTTCATGTCAGTTTTAGGTGATACATTTTGCTTTGTGTGATGTTTAAAGTTTTTTTTAAGGCAACTTAAGAACAGTTCTTTAAAAATTGCTTTAAAGATTAAAGGTTATTTTTTTTAGTTCTAAGCTTAGAAATGGAGCTGCAACAGCCAATGGAATTAAATATCAGGAAAGAAATGAAAGACCCAAGTATCCACTGATCTCTGGCAATACTGTAGAAGAATCTTACATATCAGATAATTACATATCAGATAAAAATATAATTTCTCTAATCTGCATGAAAGAACTACAAAGCTCCAAAGCAGGGCTCTTAGCTGCAAGAAAATGCAACAATGATTTCACCAAAAGAAGTGTCTCTTAGGGACCAACAGGGGCCATTGATGAAAACCAATGAACCAGATAGGACTGGCTTATCTCTGTCTGGTCTCTTTTCTCCTTATGTATGAAATTTAAATTCCATATATAAATAGATGTTAGTCTAGCAACTTTTGTGCTGTTGACTTCTAACTCTGGAGTGACAGGCCACCTTAGCAAAAGGTTGGGTTACCAGTGGCGGCGACAATGGCCACAGCTTCGCTTTCCCGGTTGCCAGTCAGGCTTGTGATGCGGATGTCATAGCGCCCTCCTGGCTGCAGATCTTCAATGTCATAGGTGTTAATATGGGCTGGCAACAGCTGGCTCCTCTCTGGCCCACCTGTCCCACATAAGAGAGCTAGTTAATTACTTGGATGATGGGTGGCAGTGAAAGAGGAGGTGATCTAGGAAGTGCTTATCACCTGCTGGGCGCCAGGTGAGCCGATAGCCCGTGCTCCCTGGTGCTGGGCTCCATTCTAGTCGGATACGGGTTTCTGAGGAGTCAGTCACACGCAGATTTCCAACGGGTTGAATTGGGATTGCCGCTGAAAGGAAAAATGTAGGATTAACAGTGGAAAAAAAGCCAGGTAGTCTGGTCATCAACAAAGAGAAATAAATACTCTAGAAGGAACTATTCCTCTTATGAAACATAGATAAGAGATACCTTCAGTATGAGGTAGAAATAAACTTTTTTTTTCACTTTAAAAATTGCTATTTGTATCCTCCATGAATAATCACTAAAATGTTGCTTCCTTGAATAACACCAATAATAACACCTGAATAACCAACTTAGGTGCTGAGATCAGGTATGGTGGTCTATAGATATGGTCCACAAGATGGTGTCCAGGAGGAATCTTTTTTGGAGGTTATGCTCCAGGGGAAGGAATTTTATTCTGAGAAGAATATTTCAGACAATAACTTAAAGATGTTTGCATTCTTGAACAATTGCAGGTTGACAGCTTGTCTAAAACCAAGCTCCTTTGAATTAATTGCCACCAGAGACAGATATTTTTAATATAGCTTGATGCTATACTTTTACTGTTTTTGTTGACTATTATTTATTTTATTTATCATATTTATATAGCCGCCCATCTCACACAAGGTGACTCTGGGTGGCGTATTATGCATTTTTACTCTATGCATTGGAAGGAAGAACAGTATACTGATCAAATTAAATTAAAACATTGCAGAGGCAGAACCTTCTCTATCCATAGTTTGTGCACTCAGAGAACTTCTGTAAGGGTGACGGGTACAAGTGCAGCAACAATACAATCCAGGGTGTCAAATATTATTAGAAAGTGCCAGATGATTCCTCCCTAACTTTTTGCTAGGAAACTGAAGCATAATATGGCTAAAATTCCACCTGGAGCTTCTTGAAAGCAGAATAATAAGAATCTTGACACACAAATATGGACAAATAAGTCTTACGTGTTGTGACAGTAATAGATACAGGGTTTCCTTCACGATTCCCAATCAGTGCTGTGACTTTTACAATGTAGCTGACTCCTCCTTCCAGGTTTTCTAAGTCAAAGGAATTAACATTTCCCAAGACCAGTTTGCTGCTTTCAGGTCCACCTTCAAAAGAAGAGAACGTGACCTTCCTAGTGAAAAAGATGACCAAAGCCACCCCAGGCCATTGCAGCCCACGCAAATAAGTATAAAGCTTGATCACACCAACAGGCAGCCCCTCTTCTCCCTAATTCTACATTTCCTTCCAGCAAACAACAAGGCAGCCTGAAAATCTCCAACGTCAGTCCCAAAATCAGCTATGCTTTTGATTTATGATGATTTTGTTTTTCTACTCCCAGAACTAAGATGCACAAATTAAGACTGTAGCAGACATTCAGAATTGAAAACCTACTCTTCATATTTATTTTCATGCTGCTTTTAACATTCATAGGGATTCTTTAAAAAAAAATTACTTAAATCTTCATTTTCTTAATAAGGCAGTGATGTCAAATTATCAGCTTTTCAAGTCCATGGCTTGTACTGTGATTTTTTCCCTCTAACATTCCTAAATTCAATACAACCATAATTTGTAATAACGAATTAATTTCTATTAAAAATATGTGTTTGCAAGAACTTTTTTTTAAAAAATTGCTTGAGCATTCCCTGCTTCCCTTCCTAAATCCATTTCAATTCTCCCTTCTTCCTCTTCTCTGACCAGAACAAACAGTTCCCAGTTGGTCAGACAAGTCAATATAAATTTATCTTAAAGGATCAGTACCAATCACTAATTTTTGAAAGACATTAGCACAGAAATTGTTTTTCTTCCACCATCTTTTATATGAATGGAGTTCTGAAGTGAAAACAACCCCAACCTCCAGCAAATTCCATCCTCATATATATCATTTTGTTTCCTTCAAATATGACATTCTTACCCAAATAATGTGATTGGTAAATTTTAAATGTAATTTCCACCATAATGTTGATTTCATTCAGCTGATCCAATAAAAGGTATCACCTTAAGCTATTTTATATATGGGATCAATATATGGTAACATCACAGTATTCTTTGGATTGCGAAGAGCAGGTAATTGCTGACTTATGATTTATACATAATTTTATCTGTAATGTTGTAGACTGCTGGTAGTCTTTGTAAAATCAGTGGGTAAAAATCATCAATTCATCAGGGGTGTATAATCCTTAATTCATTCTGGTGTCTGAAGTTCAACAATAATCTTAGATATTACAAGCTTTATGGAACATCTCCATCTTAACCTTCCTCTTGAAGACCACCAGAGAAGCCCCACTTCCAGGGAAAGGGATGGAGTGAAAACCATAAAGATTTTCTGGCCTCACTTCTCTGGATCTTCCATATGGAGGAACCTTCAACATCTCAGCTTAGGAGTTGCTAAAAGAGGCAGTCCTGATGACACTTGGATGCCAAGCCATAAATGACTGTATATGTTAAAAACTAGCACTTCAAATTGTTTCCAGAAATCTATCAGAAACCAATACAGAGCTAAGAGTCACAACTGGAGCTTTAATGGGCCAGATAGTTTCTGAATTAATAGTAGCTTTGTCTTCCAATGATTCAACTTCAACTTGTTTCCAGACACCAGAACAAGACTTTAATTGCATCTCTGGCTTGTTCCAGCATTGAGTTGTAAAACTACCACCAGCATGCTGATGATATCTCATGCTGAACCAATGGACAACCTCTCCCAGTGGCTTCAAGTGGTTATTAAAATAATGAGCCTCTACAGGTCAATAGTAAACAAACATTTTCTTCAAGAGGCAAACTATTGTGAGGAAACCAGAAACAGAAGGCAGATTCCTTACCACTGCGCTGGCTCCATATCACTCGATATGCTGTAGCCCCTGGCACACCAACCCATGAGATGCGTACCACGTTGCCCCTGGATTCAAGGACTCTGAGGCTGGTGACTGTTCCCACTTGATCAGAGGCTTCAAGGCAAAGAACAAAAAGGGATGACTGCTAATAGGATTCTCAAGGTGGAGCAAAAGGGGTAGAGAGATGTGTATCCACAGCCAGAGTTGGTCTCACCTGTTGTAACTGTGGTGGTAGCTGAGTTCCCTTCTCTGCTGCCAACTAAGGCTGAAACTTCAATGACATAGACAGTCCCAGGCCTCAGACCCTCAATGGTGTAGGAATTTATATCAGCCGGTACGACTCGAGAGACCTCTTGACCTGGAGGGGGAGGAGAATAGATGTATATCAAGATGGAGGCAACAGATTACACACACAAGGAAGAAAACAGAGTGAACTCTTACAGCTTAAAACTACCAGAGAGCACAGATCAACCAATACATGCTTCCAAGCTCATTAACAATCTGGAACTCAATTGTCCTTTTGCATTTCACCACATTTTGCACTGTCATTCTTTGATCAAAATTTGTACTCACAAAAATGAATATCCTGGAGAAAATGTGCAAAAAAACCCTTTATCAGCAGAAATATACATCTAAAATTGCCTTATATATGCTGAATTACAAATGCTGTCTCGAGCTTCTGAAGAATAGGTGGAATATAACAAATAAAATGAATAAAATGTATAATTTACTAACCCATTCTTATCTGTATTTATAGGAATACAAAAATGTTCATGTTGGGGAAATGAATTATTTTCATCTGGAAAATTTACTGAAATGTTTGCCAAGTGACTTGGAAAATAAAAGAACAAATTTATGATTCAAAAATTCAAAAGTTGTAAAAAATTAAATAGGTCTATTCTTGCTGTGGGTATCCGTTTACTCAAATGCAGCACCTGGGAAACCAGGATTTTCACATCTAATCAACAGTCCATGCATACTACAAAAACAGTCTGTGGCAGGCCAAACATAAATAATTATGTTTCTCTGAGATGCAAATTTCAGTGAAGCAGCCTTACATTGTGCAGAAATGAGTTACATGTGCATATAAGGAGAAACAGGGAGGGAAATGCTGCTGTCTAAAGGAATGCAAGCTGCAAAGCAGAATGGAAGCAAAAAGAATTAACACATAACCAGCAACAGTGTGATGGATAGTATATTACACAACACATTCCCAGCTCTGGGAGATGAAAAGACAGCTAATATACTCCAGTCCCAAGAGTTTCCTGTTAGCTAATGAATTTTACCCCTGGCAGATTCAATAATGAAAGTCAGATCACAAGAAAATACAAAACACTTAGACTATATCAAGACTCCATTGGATATGACAGTACAAACAAGAAGGCATGGAAGGGAATGCTCTTTTTCCATACCTTGGATATAAATGACTATACTGTACTTCAGTGGTCTGTTTACATTTCAAGACTACAGTACTAAAATACCAAGGCTATTGCCTCTCGATATTAAAACGTATTTCACAGATTGCTAGATGATAACTAAAAAGAACCAGTCCTTTGAGGATAAAATACCCAGTCAAATTTTTCTATCTGAAACTGTCTTGCCTTTTATAATCCCCCAACTGACTTAGAATTGACAGGGAGAGGAAGCAAAAATTATCTGTGTATCATCTCAATTTCTTGGATGCAACTTTTCAGGGTGTGGATAAGAGGGAGGAAAGGGGACTGATGAAATCCTTCCATTTTCCAGTCTCCTAGGAAATAAGTCAAATGGATTATATTGAAAAAGTAAATCTCAGTTAGATTTCAAAAGCACAGAAAATGTCAGAACATGTCACACCCTGTAGAAGAGAGAAAAACAGATTTTTTGGCATCCAGAAAAGTAGCTTCAAGCTGAAACTGAGCTGGTCTTCTCTTACAAGGGTGCACGTTTCTCCCACAAGGAAACTTGTTATTATTTCCTGTGATTATTCATCTTAAAGTGAAATGTATCTTACATGTATATAAAGGGTGGGTAGTGTTTGGGATTTGAAGGGGAAAAGGTGCTTTGGAGCATATAGTACCTATCGGCAGCTCCTTAAACCAAAAACTTTTCTTGAGGCGGCCTACAGCTATGGAGACAAGCTGTGTGATCCCAGGGAAAGATGCAGCTGCTTTAAGAAGTTGCTGACATGTCCTACATGAGCATCCCTGCACACTCCAGAACATACACATACACGTACTGTACATACACACAAGCACCATATACAGGTGAAACTCAAAAAATTAGAATATCGTGCAAATGTTCCTTTATTTCAGTAAGG